ATTTTCTGTAAAGGAATTAGTTCCTTTTTATTTGAGGTTTTCAGGCAAAGGAATATCACCATCTGATGGTTGAAGGGATTGACGAAAATAAACTACAGGTGAACAAGGGCTGAAGTAGTTAGGAGGCGATTGTAATAATCTAGACTGAAGATAATGGCAGCTCAAACCAAGGTAGTGGCTAGGAGGGAACAAGAAGTGTTTGACCTCAGGATATCTTTTGAAAGCCATCAGTAGCTTTTGCTGACCCTGTGAAAGAATGTGTGGCGAAGAGATAAGAGTTAAGGATGAGCCTCAGGTTTTGAGGTATGAGAAACAGAGAACCAAGGTCATTTACTGAAATGAGGATTAAATACTGAAGAAAGAGTACAAAAAGCAGGAATGTGGTTTTGGTAGTTGGCTAAATGAAACTTGAATTAGGAAAAGGTCAGGGATAGAGACTTAAATGTGGGAGTTATCTTCATATAAGTGATATATGTCATGGACCTAGAGATGGGCTCCCCTGGGCCTGATAGAAAAGAGGGTTTAGGATGGGGGAGAACTGAGAGAAGAAGGCCAGTGGGGCAAAGAAGAACTAAAGAAAGTGGGAGTGTAGAGATCAAGTGTAGAATGTTACGTCAGCTCTGCCAAATGCTGCTGATAGGTGAGGCCGAGAAATGACATTGGACTTGGATTTAACAATGAGAAGATCACCAGTGGACTGGGGAGGTTAGGGAGAGAATAATTAAAGAGGAAATATGGACTTCAAATACAGACTAATTCCTTCTAGGAGATTATTTTAAAGTAGAACGGAAAAATAAGATGGACCCTTAAGGACGAGGAGTCAAAGAAGACTTAAAAACTTTTAATTATTCCTTTTTTAATGAAATTATTCCCTCAAGGGTTAGATTTTGAGCAGCCTGCACATACTGGGGTTCCATCCTGAGTACTCATGGTGACCCAGTGTAACAGTGAAATGTAGGGGGCTCAGCAACTGGCCACAGCAATCTTAAGTAAGCTGGGCTGTAAACACTGGCATTGCCTGAGGCTGCCCGAGGCCCAGTGGTTTCTGTGACCTTCAGTGGATGGCCTGCTTCAGCTTTAATCCTAGATGTCTACTGGATTCTCTTATTTCCGTCTTTGCTGTCCAGGCTTGGACTTGTGGTAAAGAGGTGCTCTGTTCTTAGCCAGAGAGTTATGTAAGTTTAAAGATGTTGTAAACCGTAAAACAACAAAAAACACTATTAGTTATCCTTGTTATCTTCTGAGTTCAAGGTTGATATTTCTGTCAGGATTTTCAAAGCTTTAAGTCAGAGTTCTAAATTTAAGGCTAGGCCCTTGAAGCCAGTTACGAGGATGTTTGAGTAAAAGGAAGGTGATTGCTGTCCATTCATCTGTGAGAAGTGTACATGCATGTTTGTTTGCATTCACCCATCCGATAAAAATGCTTTTAAAAGCTTGCTGTATTTAAAATTATGCTTTAGATCAGGGGTCCTCAAACTTTTTAAACAGGGGGCCAGTTCACTGTCCCTCAGACACGTTGGAGGGCCAGACTATAGTTTTAAAAAAAAAAACTGTGAACAAATTCCTATGCACACTGCACATCTTATTTTGAAGTAAAAAACAAAACGGGGCAAAAACATCTGGCGGGCCAGCTAAATGTCCTCGGTGGGCCGCATGTGGCCGTAGTGTGAGGCCGCCTGCTTTAGATAATTTGCATGGCTAATTTTTATCCTTTTTTTTTTAAATGGAAGACAAGACAGTGAAGATACCGGGAACTCTTTAACAGTCAAAATATAAAAGGGGTAGAAATTCACTCTGTAGAGTGGTTCTAGAGGAGCCATGAAATTCTCTGTTTAAACAGAATGCCATAGTGGAGCCCAATATGTCAAGAGCCCAAACTGAGGACTATATGCCAATAAATCTGCTTTCAAAACAAAACAAAGCAAAACAAAACAAAATCCTAAACTGCACCACTCATCTTTGTTGGCATTTACATGTCCTTGGATGGCCGAGGTCTCTACAAGGGCTCGTTGGGAAACCCCTCCTTTCGATTGTGACCGAAAAACCTCCCAAACCCAAACAAACAAAAAAAGCGATTCTCTTATCCATTCATCATAAAAATTAAGTGAGGATATTATATATGTGTGGGTGTAACATATACATATTATATATATAACCTTTCTCTTTTGAAAAATAGAAGCTTACATACACAGCTTAATTAAATGTATTAAATTGCCAGCTTTTGCACTTCTCTGCTGCTGTGGAGGCTAGTTCATGGTGGATATTACTGAAAGTTATTAGTTGGCGTGATGATGCCAGCAAACTCTCGAGAGATTAGAGTATGACTTGGAGGACGTGCAGACGGGTCCCATGACGTGGGTACAGGTTGACCTCCATGTGTGCCTCGAGACACACGGTGAAGGGTGGCTATAGGCATCATCACGCTGGTGGGTATAAATATTAGTGAAGTGGTCTGAATGCTTAAGTCAACTGAATCAAAGGAGCGCGTTCACCTCCCTTGTGTGAATGTTTTTTATCATCATCCAGTTATGTATTCTTAATATACACGTAAGAACCAAATGTTACTATTATTGCATTATAATTTTATTGTACATTTAAAATGCAGATTTTAAAAAATTCAAATTATGCTTTTTAGTAACTAATCATTTTTTTTCCCTGAGCTTCTCCAATCTTCTTGTCTGGTATTGTTAGGACACTCATGTGGAAGATGCATCCTGAACAGGTTGAACTTGTGTCCTGGGCTATCATTGCCACTGCACATTGATTTTTCATTTTAATTTTGTTATTATACCTTTCTTTCTGCAGACTGGTGAGTTTTCAGCTCGGTTTCTTCTGAAGTTGCCAGTGGATTTCACCAACATTCCCACATACCTTCTCAAGGTAAAAGTACATGATGATCATTATGATAATATAAATGAGCATTTGAATTCATAATGTAATCCCGAATATTTGTAAGAATTGGTTGGCTAGTATTTTTATCAGATGATACATTCTTTTTAAAATATTTATTACATGAAGATATATTCAGTTATTTTGTTATCTAAAAAGTTAAAATAATACTTTGTTTTCCTTTTAAATTGTGAATTAATTAGACATTTACATATCAGATCATTATTTTTGCACTCAACATCTTAAACAACTTAGCAAACCTCCTAGTGGCTTGCCCTATTTCCCCTCCCTGTTTTTTCTCAGTTGGCTCTTGTAGTAAGGACATTATATTTCCCTTTACCTTAGTAACACCTGATTTCCTATTGCTTCTCCTTCCATCTCTGGTAACCACCAAAGTGTTCCTTTTTGTATGAAAACCATTTCTTGATTTTAAAGAAATATCCTTTAGCGATTGACCTAGTCACTCAACGTACTGTCCGCCAGATTCATCCATGTAATAAGGTGCATCACGGCTTCATCATTGTTTTTCATGATATATAGTATTCCTAAAATCATACACTTGAGAGTCATTTAGAAGTGAACTTTCTTTGTAAGATAAAATTAGCATAAGTAAATTAAACCTCGGAAAACATACTTATTTCATAATTGTATTGAGTTGAAAGATGCATGGAAATTGGTAATATCCATTCTTTCTTTAAGTAGGATTTTATGTTAGCCACGCTACACTCTAGAGCAGGGTCTGCAAACTGCGGCTTACAAAGCCGTGTTTGCCTCTGAAGTAAAATTGAAAATTAAAACACGATCATCATTTCATTTATAATATTACTTATAACTTTTCCTTCTTTGTAAAAATATATTTACGGCTCTTAAATAATTTTGAAAAATTGTTGTGAGGGCCAGGATTGACTTTTCCATCTCAAAAGTTTGCCTACCCCTACTCTAGAGCATACCTTTTTTTTTCATTGTATCAGTAGCTGACCTCTACACCTGCAGACTTGGATTGCCCAAAGGGAGCCACAATCTACTTAACCTCGTATGTGGTATTTAAAGGAAGGGAGGAAAGAAGAGAAGAAGAGAAAGAGAGAGCAGGAAGAAACAGATGTAGACGAAGCGTGCCCTGGGAAGCATCTACTGTGGGCACATGTTTTGTAGACAAGCGGTGGAACCCAAGTGACTAGGTCATGGTTAGGGTCCGAGAAAGTGTGGGGAGCAACCTCTGAACAGTAAGCCTTAAGATTATAATCAAACGTGAGGCCTTACTATCTAATGAAATTAGTCTGCTGGGATTTGGACTAGGTTTGGACCTGGGACTCTTTTTTGCCTTCTATTTTTTCCCTTTTTGATGGTAAATGTCTATACTGCGTCTGTTTCACCATTGTATTTTGGAAATAGATAACTTGTATTCAAGGTTTTACAGGTCTGCCGATATAGGGGAAGATTGCCTCAATAAACGAAGAATTAACACTATAATTTTAATAAGATTAGTATTATACATGAAGGTGTTATTTATTTACTCAATGAGAGATTTCCCCCTCCTCAAGGTTAACTCTGGAAAATATTAAAAGGTTTTACACACACACACACCCCTACTATCTCTTTTGGTTTCATTTCATTTAAAGTGTTGATTTTAGAGACGATGGACTCTGCTTCAAAACCTCACATTGAGATTTTTAACTTAAGATTTATAATATTAATATTATATGCAAAAATTCTACATTTGTTTGGTTTTAGGTCTGTATCTCAGGGATTTTAATATAAATCACCACCCTCTTTATCATGTCGTGGTTTGGTGCCATTGAGCAGGCTCTGACCCATAGCGACCCCGTACCCAGCCGAAGGGAACGGTGCACGCCCTGCGCCGTCCTCACCGTTGTCCCTAAGCCTGAGCGTATTGATGCAGCCACCGTGTCGGTCCACCCTATCAAGGGCTTGACTTTCCTTTCTTTTAACACCTCTCCACTTTACCAGACATAATGTCTTTCTCCAAAGACTCCTGGCAATATTGTCCCCTGACAATATGTCCCAAATATGTAAAACAAAATCCTCCATCTTTGCTTCTAAGGAGCACTCTGGCCATACTTCTTCCAATGCAGATGAGTTTGCCCTTTTAGCAGTCCATGGTACTTTCAGTATTCTCCAACACCACAATTCAAGTGCATCTATTCTTCTCTGGTCTTCCTTGTTCAATGTCTTAACTTTCACATGCATCTGATGCAATGGAGAATACCATGGCTTGGGTCAGGCACACCTTTGTCCTGAAAGTAACATGCTTGCTCTTCAATACTCAAAAGAGCTCTTCTGCAGCAGATTTACTTAGTGCAACATGCCTTTTGATCTCCTGCCTGCTGCTTCCAGGAACATCGATTGTGGATCAAAGCAGGACAAAATCATTGACAGCTTCAGTCTTTTCTTCATTGATCGTGATGCTACCTATTGGTCCAGTTGTAAGGATTTTGATCTTGCTTACATTGAGTTGTAATCCATACAGAAGGCTACAATCCTTGATCTTTATCAGCAAGTGCTTCAAGCCCTCCTCACTTTCAGCAAGCAAAGTTGTGTCATCGGCATATCGCAGGTGTTAAAAAGCCTTTCTCCAATCCTATTGCCAAACTCTTCTTCATATAATCCTGCTTCTCTGATGATTTGCTTAGCATATAGATTGCACAAGTATGGTGAAAGATACAACCCTGGCACACATCTTTCCTGATTTTAAACCATTCAATACTCTTTGTTCTTTTTGCACAATTGCCTCTTGATCCATGTACAAATTCCGTATGAGCATAATGAAGTGTTCTGGAATTCCCATTTTTCTCAATGTTATCCAAAGTTTATTGTGTTCCATAAAGTCAAATACCTTTGCAAAGTCAATGAAACACAAGTAAACATCTTCCTGGTATTTTCTGCTTTGACCCAAGATCCATCTGAATTAGCAGTGATATCCTTGTTCCATGTCCTCTTCTGAATCTGGCCTGAACTTCGGCAGCTCCGTGTCAATGTGCTGTTGACACCATTGTTGGATGATCTTCAGTAATTTTACTTCTGTTTGATATCAATGATAATGTTCGATAGTTTGAACACTCTGTTGGGTCACCTTTCTTTGTAATAGGCATAAATATGGGTTTTTTCCATGCAGTTGGTCAGCTAGCTGTCTCCAAATTTTCTGGCATAGACGAGTGAGTACTTTCAGTGCTCTTTCAGCTTCCTGAAACATTCCAATGGGTATTCCGTCAATTCCTGGAGCTTTGTTTTAGGCTAATGCATTTAGGGTAGTATGAACTTCTTCCTTCAGCACCATTGGTTCTTGCTCAATATTCTATTTTCTGAAATGATGGACTGTTGACTAGTTCTTTTTTGTATAGTGACTCTGTGTATTCTTTCCCTCTTCTCTTGATACTCCCTGCACCATTCAATATTTTCCCTATAGAATCTTGCAGAATTGTAATTCAAGCTTAGAATTTTTTCTTGAGTTCTTTTAGCTTCAGGTATCCTGAGCATGTTCGTCCCTTTTGGTTTTCTTTTTAAAAAATCATTTTATTGGGAGCTTGTACAACTCTGATCAAATTCATCCATCCATCCAGCCTTTGTGTCAAGCACATTTGTATATTGGTTGCCATCATCATTCTTAAAACCTTTTCTTTCTACTTGATCCCTTGGTATCAGCTCATTTTTTTCCTCCTCCCTCTTCCACCCACCCTCCTTCATGAACCCTTGATAATTTATAAAAAAAATTTTCATGTCTTACACTGACCGATGTCTCCCTTCACCCACTTTTCTGTTGTCCACCCCCCTCGGAGGGGGTTAAATATAGATCATTGTGATTGATTCCCCCTAGTTCCCCCACCTTCCCCATCCTCACCTGGTATGGCTACTGAGGGGTTTATCTGTCTTGGATTCCCTGTGTTTCCAGCTCTTATCTTACTCGTGTACATGCTCTGGTCTAGCCAGATTTGTAAGGTAGCATTGGGTGGGGTCATGATATTGAGAAAGCATTCAAGAACTAGAGGAAAGTTGTATGTTTTATCGGTGCTATACTGCACCCTGACTGGCTCATCTCCTCCCTGTGACCCTTCTGTAAGGGGATGTCTAATTGCCTACACATGAGTTTTGGGTTTCCACTCTACACGCCCCCTCATTCACAATGATATGATTTTTTGTTCTGGGCTTTGATGCTTGATACCTGGTCCTGTCGACACCTCTTGATCACACAGGCTGGTGTGCTTCTTCCATGTGAGCTTTGTTGCTTCTCAGCTAGATGGCCACTTGTTTATCATCAAGCCTTTAAGACCCCAGATGTTATATCTTTTGATAGCTGGACACCATCAGCTTTCTTCAGCACATTTGCTTGTGCACCTGCTTTGTCTTTAGCGATTGATCATGTCGAGAAGGTGAGCATCATGGAATGCCAGGTTAAAAGAACAAAGCGTTCTTGCATTGAGGGAGTACTTGAGTAGAGGCCCAATGTCTATTTGCTACCTTAATACTAAACCTGTAAATATATGTACATAGATCTATTTCCCTGTCATTATATATAAATATATTTACATGTGTACATGCTTGTATTTAGACCTCTATAAATGCCCTTTTGGTTTTCTAATTCTAGGTCCTTGTACATTCATTATACAATTTGGCTTTTTCTTCTTGAGCTGGCCTTTGAAATTTTCTCGTGAACTCCTTGACTTCATCCTTTCTTCCATTTGCTTCAGCTACTCTATGATTAAGAGCAAGTTTCAGAGTCTCTTCTGACATCCGCTTTGATCTTTTCTTCCTTTCCTGTCTTTTTAATGACCTTTATGAATAATGACCTCTTCATGAATAATGGTCTTGACGTCCTTCCACAGCCCATCAGTTTTTCTGTCATCAGTGTTCGGTGCGTCACATCTGTTCTTGAGACACTCTCAAAATTCAATTAAGATAGACTCAAGGTTGTGTTTTGGCTCTCCTGGACTTGTTTTAATTTTCTTCATCCTCGACTTACATATGAGCAATTGATG